GGGGGTGAGCGGGCTGCCGCGCGGGCCGGATGGCTTGACAGGGACTGTACGCGACACGCCGGGGGGAGGGGGGGGAGAGGGGAGGTGGAGAGGAAGCGAAGGACGGATGGAGGAAGGTGACGAAGGGGAGATGGTGCCTCTCTCTGTCGGGAGGACAGAGGGGGCGGAGAGGGGACAGGAGCGAGGCGGCAGGGGTCAGATGGCAGTCGCGGGGGAGGGGGGGGGGTAGGATGAGACCAAGTCACATGCGAATGTGCATGCCCGGGGGACGGGGCACCGCGCGCCGGAGATCGGCAGGACAAGGGGAGGGGGGGAGGGCGAGAGCGAGAGCGAGAGCAAGCGGACCGAGCCCACGGGCGTACACAGCGAGGGGAGGGCGCGAGCGAGGAGCGTGCGAGAGGAGCGTGCGAAGGGCGGCGGTGCAGAAACGGAGGTGCAGGGAGGGGGGAGGAAGGGGGGGGGGGGAGGAAGGGGAGGGGATGTTGCCAAGCCAGCCAGTCCGAAGAGGCTCGGGCTGGAGCGAGAAAAGAAGCACCCTGTGGCGCTTGTGTGTTTACCGGACAAACCCATCGGGGGGTGGTGGGGGGGGGGGAGCGAAAAAAAAAAAGACAGAGGGAACCCCGCCTGGACGGGCAGGCCGGTGCAAGTGCCATCGAGGGGCAGGTGGCCGGAAGCGGCCCTCAGTGGGGGCCCGTGGCCCGAAACACCCGGAAACACGGGCCACGGGCAGCGGCTGGCCGCCTGGATGTGTGCCGGTGCATGTGCGTGTGCATATATGTGTGTGTTTGTAAATTCGGTGCGGGCCGGGCGCGTGTACGAGCTTGCCCTGGTGACGAGAAACACGCACGACTGGCAGGCGTCTCCTTCGAGGGGGGGGGGGGGGAAAGGGACGGAGGGGACACCCCGGGCCCCCTGCGCGAGGAGGGTCCCCGGTTACGAGTCCCTGGGCTCCTCCCTCCGTGAGTCATCTGGCAAGGGCGCATCCACGGGTGGCCGAGCGCCGGCGCGCCCGGGAGGCGGGGTCCTTTACGCGCAGGTAAGAATGTGCCGGCCGTGGTGCAGGATATCTCGCGCGCCCCCCCAGCCGACGGCAACAACCACGCCGCGCCGCCACATTGTGATGGTGTTTGTGCGTGCATGCGGGCGCATCGCCATGCCTGCGGCTGTGCCGCGGTCGGGCAAACATTCCGCCCCCCCCCCCCCCCCCCGCGCGCGTTTCCCCCGGCGGCTAGTCCGTGCCTGTGCCGCCGTCCAACCTTCGCGGGTGTCGGCGGGGCCACTCAGGCATGCTCAGGAGCTTGCCAGGCATACGCCGCCTTCCCCAGAACAATAGGCGAGGGTGTGCCCGGAGGGGGGAGGGGGCACAGCGCCCGCGAGGACGCCCCGTGCGATGGATCCGTGTCACTCCTGGGCTTGCTCCTGTTCCCCCCGCCCCCCCCCCGGTACCCCGGCGCCCCTTCTGAGTTCTTATCCCGGACTCTCGCCCATGTCCCCTGGCTCAGGTGTGCAGAGGTGACAACCCCCCCCTCCCCCGGTCCGCGGGATAAGGTCCGCCCATGAACGGGGCACTGCCGAGCGGCCCGCCCCGCATGTCCTGGCCTCTCGCGCGCGCGCGCGCGCGCACGCATGCGTGTGCCACATACGCCACATGCGCTTGCCCTTCCCTCTCACTGGGCTCCTGCCCCTCCGGCCGTGTGTGTGTGTGTGTGTGTGTGTGTTCCCGCAGCCTCCTGCCCGCCTCCCCGCCCGGTTCCCTGAGGCGGCCACGACCTTGCGCCGGGGCCCGCCCCCCACCCCCCCAGCCTGGCCAGCCGGCAGCCTGGCTGGCTGGCGGCCGAGGCTGGCGAAGGCGGGCGCAGGCCAGCCCCAAGGCGGGGCCCAAACTTCCACACCGGGGCTGATACCCACACCCGGGCCAAGGGCGGGGCGGGTGTCAGCCTTCGCAACACACCCAGTCGAGGGGCCAGCCCCGGGGGAGCGTCGCGCGAGCCCGCGCGCGCCCCGGCCCGTGTGAACCCCGCACATTGTCCTTCGCAACCCCTTGCCCGGGGACAAAAGGCATCGACTTGTGGCCGCTTGATTTCGGCGTCGTGTGCCGGCGCGCGGCGGGACTCCGGCCGCGCTGCGAGGATGGCCACAGCGGGATGCGATCCCCCCAGCGGCCGGGCCTTTCCCCGCCCCCCTCGCCGACCCGAAGCGTTGTCATGCTCGTCGTCGGCTCGCAGGCACGAGACCCGCTCGAGCAGGGGCCCCCATCCGGACCCGGGACAGGCGGGCCGGGCGGCTCGGCGAGGCAACACCAGCAGCAGACTGTCACGGCCTCACACCGCATCCTGGCCAATGGCACCGGACGCACGGGCACAAGCCCCAGCGGTGTGGTCACTCGGCGGACCCGGCAACTGTCGATCCCTCCCTTCGCGAGGGCCAGCAGAGAGGCAGCCCGGTGGGCGGGGGACTCTGGAAACAACCCCCTCGGCGGCTCAGCCCTCTCGTGTGTGTGTGTG